GTAGCTTATTGTTCTAATTATGAAAGCTGATCACTGCTTTATAGATTAAGGTATCTTTATTTTCTGTGTCTCCAGGCTTTTATTGGGGTGATATAGCATAATTTCAAAGCAGACTATAGTGATATAAACCACAGAAGAATGTTTTTCTCTGATAATTTCAATACATTTGCTCATTAATATTTGCAGACATCTGCACATTAGATTATGATGTGTACTGTCAGAGTTTTAGTGATTTCTCTTGTGTCTATAGAGAAAAGGTGAACTTCAAACACTCTCAAAATGGAGATTCTTAAAATCAGGAAACAGTTCCTGCCTCTTGGGCAAGTCAAAATAAGATGATTATTGGATTGGGCGGGGGGGAAGGGGGGGCAGCGGTAGACATAAGATAAAAGGAACAGATTTTGTTTTGCTTTTGTATTAATAACCCAGATGGTCACACTACTGAAGACAATCACATCTTAATAAATTATAGTTACACTGGTAGTCATGAAGAAACTAAAAATGAATACAAAGAGAAGGCATCATGCTTTCTCATGAAGTTTAGTAATAGGAGTTGCCATTAACATGACGCATTTTCAACTGGTCAGGTAAAAATAAAATTTGCTAATGAGATATGACAACCTTAAATAAGGCACATGGAGAGAATTCACATATTAGATACAGAAAAAAAAAAGAGTCTTCGAGTTATAAACACAAGATATTTGTATCTCCTCAGCAAAAACTAAGCTTACCCATAGGTGATAGCCTTGTTAAATCAGTGACATCAAGAGTGTCTTAATTGTCATAATTCTGTATACGTGCCTTCTATGGATGTTAGCAAAATAGACTAAAAATATCCCCCCTGTGAAAATGAATGATTTATTGCTATTCCCTGGAGGGGAATGGTTTCATTTAAAGTAGCAATAAACACCTGGCATTTGCTCATCTCTGCTTTTTCTTTTGGTGCAGCTTCTCTCTCCAGTTCATAGGCTCTTGGTTGGAAAGGAATAGTAAAAGGATCACCTTGTTCGTCCACCCATCTGATGCTTGGATCTTTTCCAAAGAAGAACAAACAGAAGGGCTTGAACTGCCCTGGCAAGTGACCTCCTGAGGTCCCCCGTTCTGCCTTTCGATGCCCCTGACTACTCGGGGCCTCGCTTTCCTGCACCTCCTTCTCACTGGCCCTGGCTCTGCTCACTGGCGCTTCACAACATAGTGCCAACCCCTCATGAAAACAATAGCCCTTCAAGTAACCCTCAGGTCATATGGGGCCTTTTTCTTCCCCTCCAGCTAAACATTCAGTGCCCTTCTCTTGCATGTCCTATGACAAAGTTCAGAGTCTCTTCCCCACCCAGGCCACTTTCTTTTGTCCACATGCTTCTTAAATGTGGTATCAAACAGGAATGCACCACCCTGAATGTGATCTAACAAAGCAGAACAGGACTATAATTTAAATAAGTCTATTTAAAATGAACACATACTAATGCTGCTTGAACTCAAATTAGCCCTTTCAAAGTCATATGAGACTTGATTGGAATCAGTGATTTTTTAAATCATATAGCTGCTAAACAATGTCTTCATTCCATCCTGTTCTCGTACAGTTGTTTATATGAACCCACATGTCAGACCTTTCATTTATTCCTAATAAGCTTAATTTTAGGCTTGATTCATTATTCTCACCTATCACAGGTAAAAAAATATGTTAAGACATTGAGAGATCTAGTCCAATCCCAGCCGAAGCTGTAAAGTTGTTGACTACAAGAAGTGACAGGGTCAGAGCTCCTGACGCTTCATTGCATCCTCTTCCCTTTTGTGGTCCTTCAGTGCTTTTAACAACCTCTCCTCTCAGCAATATTGCCTTTTCCCTTTGGGTTGTCAAATGATTGATTTTAAAAGCCCACTGACTCTAGCTTGGACAACTATGATAGAGCATTATTATGAAAGATGCTTTCTCTTTTCCTATATAGAAGAAATCTTTTTTTTTAAGATTTTATTTACTTATTTTAGAGAGAGAGTGTGTGTGAGCAGGGGGAGGAGCAGAGTGAGAGAGAGAATCTTAAGCAGACTCTGCACTGAGCATGGAGCCCGATGTGGGGCTTGATCCCGCGACCCTGAGATCATGACCTGAGCTGAAAATCAAGAGTTGGGCACTTAACCAACTGAGCCACCCAGGTGCCCCATAGAAGAAGTCTTGAAATGACATCTATTCCCTAAGATCCAGTCTACTCTTGACCTTTTGGGAGACAAAGTTAACGATCATGCCAATTGGTCACCACTTACCTCAAATTACAGTTGCCTTTATAATAATAACAATAAAAAGATGAACCTCTTTAGAGTGTTGAGATTCAAGAAATATTAGTTCCAACCCTGGCAGCATCTCCTTGGACAAGTGAGATGATCTCTCTAGGCCTCAGTTGCTGAAACAAAAAGAGAGTTTCTTGGCCTCATGGTCAGTGCTTTGGCTATTTATAGAAATGCCATAGTTTCCTTATTAGGGAAACATGTTTAAAATTTCATCATTAAGAATTGAGTCCTTGGGGCGCCTGGGTGGCTCAGTCGCTAAGTGTCTGCCTTCAGCTCAGGTCATGATCCCAGGGTCCTGGGATGAGCCCCACATTTGGCTCCCTGCTCTGTGGGAAGCCTGCTTTTCCCTCTCCCACTTCCCCTGCTTGTGTTCCCTCTCTCACTGTGTCTCTCTCTGTCAAAAAATAAATAAAATCTTGAAAAAAAAAAAAGAATGGAGTCCTCTATGCTAAGGCAGGAGTTCTCCATTCAAAACCAAATACTCCATGGGAGAGTTAATACATTTAAATTAGCGGCTAATACTTTAGAACATAGCTTTTTGGAAGGTTGCTAATTAAATAACTGAAGAAGTTTTGAATTGGATGAGAGTCATAGTAAGAAAGTATAGGTAGGAGATAGTGCAGAAGTCCCACACTGGGGAATTGCCTGGAATCAGAAGGTGTAATACGCTATATGGGGGTATCTCACCAGCTAGAGCTGGACGTAGAAGCTGTGAGCCCCAGTGTGGAAGGATGATGACAAATTACTGTAGGGACTAGAAGGGAATTAGGAAAACAGCCAATTCAATCCCCTCATTTTACGGATGAGGAAACTGAGCCTAAAGTGCCTTGCCCAAGGTCATACAGCTGGTTAGCGGTGGGGTCAGGTCCCTGATTCCTGCACGGCGCCTTTCCTCTATATCATGAAGACAAACTACACAATTTTGCTTAAAATGGCACTGCTCTCAGGTTCCAGCACCATGCAAAGTGAGCGAGATTGATGAGGTGGTTGAAGCAGTCTATTTGGGAGTAGAAAATGCCTCTCCCTGAGGCCTTCCATTCTGTTAGTAATGTTGGGGTAAATGCCTCAGTGTGGTCTGTCTCTGTAGAGATTGGCAGAGAACACACAATATTCACACACTTATATTGTTCTTCAGTGGAAGCAGATCTTACTGATTAATTGGACTCCAAGTCCTCCTGGTTGAGGACATTCACAGAATGATTTTGCTGCTGAACATGTAGTCCCCTTTCTGAAGCATTGCCTTTTTAGAATTTCTCTTGAAGCATCAAGCTTCCTCATTGTGGCTGAATAATCATTGGTCATCTGCTTCTACCTGCCTTGCTCTCATTTTAAAGGAAGGCTTTCAAGGACAACCCCCACACAGACCTAGCTCTGCGGAACTTGGAGCCAAGGACAGTCTTGTTTCTTGAGCAGCCACCTAGAGAGGTGCTTCTCAAACAAAGGTGCATATGAACCACCTGGGCATCTTGTTATAATGTGGATTCTAATTCAGTATGTCTGGGATGGGGCTCGAGATTGTGCCTTTCAGACAAGCTCTCAGAAGATGCCAACGCTGCTGATCTGCAGACCACACTTTGAGTAGCAAGGTTCTGGCTTAGCTTCGGCCTGACTTGGGGAGACGCTTATGAAGTCTGCTTCTGCAGGCTTTTCCCCACTCCATTCCTAGAAGAGTGTTTAACCAGGACCTTCCTGGGCCCAGAGGGAAAATTATTGAGCCTATTATGCACTAGCAGTGCACATGGATCTTTGCACCTAAGCCTTCTTAATCAAATCTGCAATATTTGTGGGTGGGACTGTTTGCTTGCACAAACACCCTACACTTGCCCACAGTAATTAGGTAATTGAATTGCAAACAGTAATTAGCTGCCTAACTGCCTGCTTGTTCATGCAGGTATCCAATTTGCTTTTGAAATGTGGGCTTATACTGGTGAGAATGGAAGGTGCCGTTAAAGACTGCAGACACAATTAAGAAGGCCCATTGAAAACCTGGCTCTGAGTGAGCTGGCTGTTGCATACTTCTCCCTTATTACTTATTTTTTCCTCCCTATTTCAGTTACTCGGATTACATTTTTTCTCTGTGACTTGGAGAATCTCAGTTCCATTGTGTTACTTAAGAAAAACGAGAGGTGGTATTGGATGCTGGTTTTCATGTCTTCGGGATAAAATGAAAAACTCACTGTTGTGTAATAGAGTGACAGCTAGTCTGCTGCTTTCTAGGGGAACTGACAAGCTTGTTTACTTCCTGGGCGCTAGTCTTTCTGCACAGCCCATCGTGAAAACAGGTGAGGGCTCCTGATGCCGTCTCTCCCACACAAGTGGGATACGTGCTCCAAACCGTGGCCCCCAAAATGCAGTTCTCTTTTAACCCGTGTTCATTTTCATAACAAAGAAAAAACCAGAAATCAGAAACATCTGCCTCTCTGATGAAGCGAGTTCGTGTCCAGCCTTCCCAAGAAGCTTCAGTGAGGATGTTAGGCGATTTCCCTCCAGCCATTTGGAACTGTTAATTCTTTTAAAACATGTCTCCCAATCCACTCTACCCACTTACCTCTAATGTCTGAGATTTGGGCTCTCCTGTGTCCTGAGCTATGTGGGTTCCTGAGCATCAGCGCGCCAAGCTCTGCTGAGGGCAGTATGGTCATCCGATTCACATCACGCCCTGGGGCTCTTCTGCAGCAGCTTCAGAAGGGTGACCTTGAAACTGCTGACCTCCAAAACCCTGTTCAGCTGAGCGGGCCCATCCTTTCTAACAGGTGAAAATCTTCGGAACACGCAATTATTCCTAATGCAGAACAACGGAGAGTTTTTGTTAGCATAGCGCAATCTTTGCAAATTATATTATGGTAGTATTCATTTACTAATACCGCATGCCGAGTCATGGGTCTTTTCAGTTCTTTCATGTAACAATAGTTCTGACTCGACTCAAGTACACAGGCTAAGTTTTTAGAAGAAAATACCTTGCAAAATCTCCTCTTCCTTTTCTTTTTTTTAAATAATTGGCACGAAGACCATTGTGTGGTCCCCAGCTTTAAAAGATGTCTATAAAAGAGGACTTAGAAACATTTAAACTAGATTGTTGAAATCCATTTAGTTTTAATTTCATTATGAAGTGTACTAAAGGGCCAGTGGTCAAGGCTGTTACTGGAGCTTTCAGAGGTGGAAATCTGAGGCATAATTAGGAAAAAAAAGGAACAAAAATCAAGGGCATTTTTATATTCAGTGCAAAAGAAAACACTCGGATACAGAAAACTATGACTATTAAAAATAATAAGGAGACAACTTAGATGTTAAGCTGAGAAATTAGAACATTAATGATGATTGCTCCCATTAGATAAAGAAGTGAAGTGTGTAGTAATTTTAAGACTCCTCCTCCCTTTTCACAATAGTCTTCAACAAGCACACTAAAAGTCTCCTTAATATTGTTTCTTATATATTAGGGACTGCAAAAATCCCGAGGATTCCTCAGAGAGTTTCCTTTTGAATTGATTTTTTTTGAAGAGCAGGAAGCAAGCTTTCCTGGTGAATAAATCTGACCACAAAATTGAACCTGGTCCTTCCTCTTAAGCCCTCCTGGAGTGGCCTTCGTATGGCCTTCATCATTTTTCTGCTGGACCATGACAATCTCACTGAATTAGCCATGCCCTCATCTTTTTTTTCTCTTCTCATGTATACTGTCCACACTGTCACCAGAATTATTTCTTTAAATCAAAAATCAGCATGTTACTTGAACGGTTCCCTGATGCTCAGAGATAAAATCCTTATTATAGCATGGAAGGCCGCTCACAGCCTGGCTCCTATATCTTTAGGCGGCTCTCTCTCTCAGCAGCCCCCTATCCAGCCATGCACCCCACACCCTGGGCATATTAAACCTCTGAACAGTCCCTGAATGTCATGTGTTCTTGTTACACTCTGTCACTTGGTCCAGTGGACAGGGAATCAGACCGGGATAAAACAGGGACCAGTTGTAGGGTATGGTCAAAACTCATAGGAAGGGGACAACTTATGGGCAGATAATTGGGAGTGATTGTACTTTAATCCTTTCAAAGGTTTATTGAGTAGAAAGAACACTTGTCTAAATAAGCTCAGTGCATAGCAGTTACCCATATCACATTGCTTTATAACCAACATTCAAGGAATTATATTAGCCTCTTGGCTACAGAGCATATGGAAGTCCAGATGGGTGTAGGTTTTTTTCCCTTTTCATTTTGTTTAACTTGTGCTGACGGTATCAGATTTTCCATCTCCAGAGTCATAGCTTGTACTTGTAAACGTAGTGAGTTCAGTGGCAGAGGAGAGGGAAAGGCAAAAAAAGTGTTTTATGAGGAGAGGACAGCATTTACCTTCCTTCTTCATGTCTAGTAATACACAGGTATCTGTGAAGATCAGCTCCTCTCTAGCAGGAAAAATTCAAGGTTTGGTGCTCTTTAGGAAAGAGACAGTTTATAACGTCTGCAGTTTCATAGAGCTGAATGAATTTTTTGATTGAGTTAAATTTTTCTTTTAGATAATCTATAACCTGGGAACAAGAGTGGAACTTTTGGAAACAGCCTATGATCTTTCATTTTGCTGCTCATTCTGCCTTCTCCAAGGGTCCAGGGCCCTTGGTCTCCTAGCAAAGAGAAATGACCTTCATTTCTAAGAAGCTGGAGAGGAGAGGAAGTCAGGGATCAGTGCTCATGGCAGGATCCTTCTTACAGTTGGGAGATGTCTCTAACGCTTGTTTGGTGCTTCTTTCCTGGGAATGTAGACATACAAGGGGAGTAGAGGAGTCCTTCCACTAGGAAGTAGGACCCTGCATGGGTCAGACGTTGCATTTGCATAGACCACAATAAAAATGCACATAGACACAGTCTCCTTAGAGTCACCCAGTATAAGTGAGCACATGTTCGCCCACCCATTAGGAGGGTACTTTGGGTCACTTTTCCTGAGAAATTTATTAAAATGGGTCATGTCAGATATTTAATTAGAAGAAACAAAAATTACCTGTGCTATGTAAAATATAAAAAACACAAGTACCCTTATTGCCGGCTGCCCTGTGAGAACCCTGCCATGACTGGGATTCAGACTACTCAAAACCAGCAAGTTCACTCAACAGAGAGTCAGTCATGTTCAGAGTTGTCTCCCCTAGCTAGATAAGAGTGTTGCAACTAGACTGTATAGAGCAATGGGGGGGGGGAAGTGAAAGAGCCATGATTTCTGACAAAATCAAACTGCCTTTCTTCCAGCTAGAGTGGGCAGAAAATCTGACTCTGATTACTCAGAAAAGTCAAAGGCAGTGATTTTGGAAGCACACAACTTGCCTCCCCTATAACTGTACTAGTTCTAGAGCAGCCTCTAAAGGAGAGGGAGTATTCACTCATTCGGTGGGTTCCAAGTGATTGCTGTGTATCCACTACCATGCCAGGAACTGGGAAAAGCTAACGAATGTGCTAAATCTCTGTTCTTATTGGGATCGATGTCCGGTGAGAAAGAGAAACAAGATGGAGTGTGATGGTGGCCAGTCTACTTGGAGATACGCTACTCAGGTAGCTCCTAACTGTACCAGACACTGTGCTAGTCAGGACTTTGAAATCCACCAGTAGATTCCATATTCTAGTTCGAGATTCCTAAAGCTTTGACTTCCATAACCCCCACTGCATTGATTTATATAGTCATTTCATCTTTATTTCAAGAGCAGAAGGGGGATGCTGGCAACCTTCAAGTCCTGAAGAAGGTAACTCTGCCTTCGTAGGCCATGTTTTGCTAATTCTTCCTTCATTCACGCAGATCATAGAGTTGCCGCTTGTACAGTTGAATAAGATGCCATCTACATTCATCCTTCCAGCACGAAGAATGTGAAAACTTAATCAACAGGGGAGTCGTGATCACTGAGACTAACAAGTGACCCCCACCTTGCTTGCTGTTATGGCAGAATGATTCCCCCTACCACCATAATTCATATGTCAAAGTCCTAACCCCCAGGATCTCAGAATGTGACTGTATTTGGAGAAAGGGCCTTTAAAGAGGTAATTAAGTTAAAATGAGGCTGTTAGGGTGGGTTCTTTTCAGTCCAGCTGGTGTCCTTATAAAAAGAAGAGATTAGGACACACACAGAGAGAGAGAGAGACATCAGGAGTGTGCGTGCACAAAGACCACGTGAAGACACAGTAAGAAAGTGGCCATCGGCAGCCAAGGGGAGAGGCTTGGAACAGCTTGTTCTCTTTCCTCTGTTCTCAGAGGAAACCAACCCTGCTGGTACCTTGATCTTGGACTTCCAGCCTCCAGAACTGTGAGAAAATAAATTTCTCTTGTTTAAGCCACTCAGTCTGTGGTATTTTGTAATGGCAGTTCTAACAAGCTGATATACTTGCCTTTGTATCTTTTGAATATGCTGTGGTTCAGTAACTTGATGGACTAACCTTTCAAAAGAAAAGAACCATACCTCTCCTTAGTTCCCATTCAGACAAGGAAAGGTGCTTGAATTATTTTCTAACATCTCTCAGGGTCACTAAACTGGACACATCATGAACGCTATATTTACTATTTGGCAATCTCCCAAATCCAGGGGGCACTATTAACTTTGTCTCACATGGATTGAGTTCTTGAAGAGTAGAACCTGAGACGTCTCCCAATATTTGATATTTTAATATTGACATGCTTGGAGAGAGGGCTCAGAAATAAATGACCACTTCAGATCTGTTCTGGCTCAGTGACCCACAAGTATATATACCTTGAAAGAACTTTGATCTCCTCCAAGCCTTTGTATAAATTCAAAGTAGTTAGTATTTTTAAAATATCATCTGCCATTAAAATTATTTTTTCTATTGGATGCGGTTGAAAATCACATAGGTAATATTTAATAATCAGGAGATTGACATGTAAATCACCATTGTTTGAAAAAGCTCACTGATGCAAAGATGTAATTTTCTCTCTCCTCCCCAAACCAGGAAGAAAGCAAATAACAACCTTCTCGTAGTCCTGTGGTTAATAGATTGAAGATTTGTGTTGGGGGGGGATATAAAAATGCTTTGTTTCTGGTGCTTTCTGGTTGATAAAGTGTTAGATAACCCAGGCTTTTTACCGAAATTCATTTCCTCCGCTTAATGACTAATTGCGGCAAAGTAGACATGGCTTCAAATCCATGTCTTTTCTATTTTGCATTTTTTTCCTTCTGATTCCTAGATTTAAAATTCCAGTTGTGCTAGAAATCATGATATGTGTCTAACACTTTTTGAAAATTATAGAGATCAAAAGAGAAAGCGTGTTCATAAAAAGCTTTGATAGTCTCCTTCTAATAAACCCCCCTTTTAGACATTTTTAATTTATACAGAAAAGCAGTGTTCAGTTGGGAAACGCTCAGATATTGTGCTTTAAAGCCTTAATTTATGTGATCAGCTTGATCCACATGGTGCACATTATCCCTAACTTGTTGGCAGAGGGAAAAATTTAGCTTGATAATATTTTCTACCCTTTGTGAAAAGAAAAGATGCTTATTAAGGAACCCGGGAGGCAATGTTGGGCTGCTGCTAGCAGAGGGACCAGCCCAATGTGGGCAGAGTTGCTGTGGGGCTGCTCAGGAGACCTTTGCCTGTCCAATTTTCTGCTGCTCCGGTCCCTGAGAGACCACTAATTCCTTTTTTATGCTATAGCCAAATCCAATAGCAATGAAGACAACATCTACGTTCGATAGGTATATTTTTGCCAGCTTACATTAAATAATTCATTATAAATGTTTGAAGGGCTGAAATTAGCCTTTATTAAATATAGAAGTAGGCATCATCAGCAGTCCCTGATGAAAGCAAT